CATTATTGACATTCATATGAAATTAATAACAAAATTATACATTTACCACTCACCTCATTCTGTAATATATGCAGGTAACCCACTCCAATTGCAACACGAAGTTCCAGACTTTTCAATCCATATTCTGGAAGACAGTAAACGTGTGAATACATCAAGTAGTTACCAGTCAATATTTTTACTTTAAGGAAAAAATACCATTATATACTAAACTTTCCCCATTATTGACATTCATATTATGAAATTAATAACAAAATTATACATTTACCACTCACCTCATTCTGTAATATATGCAGGTAACCCACTCCAATTGCAACACGAAGTTCCAGACTTTTCAATCCATATTCTGGAAGACAGTAAACTTGTGAATACATCAAGTAGTTACCAGTCAATATTTTTACTTTAAGGAAAAAATACCATTATATACTAAACTTTCCCCATTATTGACATTCATATGAAATTAATAACAAAATTATACATTTACCACTCACCTCATTCTGTAATATATGCAGGTAACCCACTCCAATTGCAACACGAAGTTCCAGACTTTTCAATCCATATTCTGGAAGACAGTAAACTTGTGAATACATCAAGTAGTTACCAGTCAATATTTTTACTTTAAGGAAAAAATACCATTATATACTAAACTTTCCCCATTATTGACATTCATATTATGAAATTAATAACAAAATTATACATTTACCACTCACCTCATTCTGTAATATATGCAGGTAACCCACTCCAATTGCAACACGAAGTTCCAGACTTTTCAATCCATATTCTGGAAGACAGTAAACGTGTGAATACATCAAGTAGTTACCAGTCAATATTTTTACTTTAAGGAAAAAATACCATTATATACTAAACTTTCCCCATTATTGACATTCATATTATGAAATTAATAACAAAATTATACATTTACCACTCACCTGATTCTGTAATATATGCAGGTAACCCACTCCAATTGCAACACGAAGTTCCAGACTTTTCAATCCATATTCTGAAAGACAGTAAACTTGTAAATACATCAAGTAGTTACCAGTCAATATTTTTACTTTAAGGAAAAAATACCATTATATACTAAACTTTCCCCATTATTGACATTCATATTATGAAATTAATAACAAAATTATACATTTACCACTCACCTGATTCTGTAATATATGCAGGTAACCCACTCCAATTGCAACACGAAGTTCCATATTCTGGAAGACAGTAAACGTGTGAATACATCAAGTAGTTACCAGTCAATATTTTTACTTTAAGGAAAAAATACCATTATATACTAAACTTTCCCCATTATTGACATTCATATTATGAAATTAATAACAAAATTATACATTTACCACTCACCTGATTCTGTAATATATGCAGGTAACCCACTCCAATTGCAAAACGAAGTTCCAGACTTTTCAATCCATATTCTGAAAGAAAGTAAACTTTTAAATATACTGCATTTACATTTAAATACATCAAGTAGTTACCAGTCAATATTTTTACTTTAGTATATATTGGTATTTTTTCCTTAAACTTTCCCCATTATGAAATTTGCCCTAAAGTTGTTTTTTACAATAAATGAACTAATTAACTTTAGTAAAAATTAAGCAAACCAATTAACATAAGTTTTTTTTTTCAACATTTAACCATAAACTTTATTATGCAGTTTCAAAGCAAATGCCCACATTACTTTATTTAAAGTTAAATTCCTGCAAACTAAACTTTAACAGTTCCCACTAGCCTTGCCCTACAATTTTTTTTCTATTTTTACACCCAAACAATTGTTACCTAAATGGGTTGAAATTTACGTACAAAATATACAGTACCCATAAACTAATTTTGACTAACATGATACTTACTGTGCATCACTTAAGATTAAGTTTCTTTTAACAGCTCATTCTCATACGTTGCAGGGACCTTCCACAACCTGTCATGGAAACAGCCTTGTTAATTCAGTTTACATAAACAGGATGTTACACAATTCCTTAAGTTACCATTTTAAACAACTTTTGTAAATTTTATTTACCGTCATTATTTATTGAGAAAACCATTGCCATTTGATTACATTTTACATTTATATTAAATCTGTTATTTAAATAAAACTTTACCCACAGGACACCCCACAATACTATATATACCATTACATACTCAAGATTTTATTCTTGGCTAGTCTTAATGCAAGCAAACTAAACTTTGCCCAACAACTTTGTAGTTTATTAATAAAAATACGATGATTAATATTAAACAATTAAAATTAAAAAATTATTATATTTACATTAGATTTTTATTCAAACCTACTTTACACACCTAACACCCCATTTAATCCTCGATTCACTGTCACCAGCCCGTCTCCAAAATGAAGACCAAAAATGATTCCATATACAGAGCCAGTCTCACAGCACGCTCGACTTTTAATCCTGTGGTCCTGGGTTCGATCCCAGGCGCCGCCGAGAAACAATGGGCAGAGTTTCTTTCACCCTATGCCCCTGTTACCTAGCAGTAAAATAGGTACCTGGGTGTTAGTCACCTGTCACGGGCTGCTTCCTGGGGGTGGAGGCGTCGAGGACCGGGCCGCAGGGACACTAGAAAAAAATACCAAAATCAAGATAACCCGCCAAACGGCCCGTTTACGAATGAAAAATCTCTACACGATTCAACTTGACATGGTAACATTTCACAAACAAGTGCTTTACAGACTTTCCAACCACAATGCTCTAAATGTCGCCGTTGTACTAATACAATTAATTGCCAACAACCTGAACACTTAACTAAAGCCTATATGAGCACAATGAAATTATATTCTTTAATTTCTATTAGAGATTTATATTTTTAATATACAGGATGTGACAAGTTATGATTGCGTCTGTGGGGTCGACCGCTGAAGGTAATGACTTTCAGTAGAGGACGGCTTTGTCCCCATTTT